TCTGTTCCAAACTTCCTCCACCTCCATGAACCTTGGTTTCTGCCCATTCCCACGAACAGTTCTCCAAGCACACAAAATTATTCTGCTTAAGTTAACCAGAGATGGTTTCTCTTGCTTCCTACCAATGGGCTCTGACACACGTCCACGTAGGAATCCTAACAGCCAATCTGCATCTTTGGAAGATGCTTCCATGAGACATCTAGCAAACGAACACAGACACAGGACCAGCAGATGACGTAATGGCTACGTTGCTGGACTCCCATGTAGTTGACCATGGTTCGAATCCTGGACCTGGTGGCTTAAACTCACGTCAGGCACATGTGCATGCATACCCAAGATCCCAAGAGGTGAATGGAGAAGGGATTGTGGTGTGGCCATCCCCCCAGGAGGTGATTTCTTGCTTTCTGTCTCTCTGTCTCTCTCAGTCTTTCTGGCAAGTGCACATGCCCTATAGCAAAAACTTCTCAAAAATAAAAAAAATAAAAAAAAAACAGACACAACTATGATCCTCAACTTCCAAGACCAAATAGGGAAAAGGGGAATGTACTCCTCAATATTTTCCAGTCTGCTCTTATCAGTAAGTTGATCTATGCTTGCATAACAATAATGCATAAAATGAATTATATTCATTTCTCTCTACTTGTTATTAAAATAACCTCAGTGAAAGAATTAAAAGGAAAAGAACTTCTCAGTCACCATTAGTTTAACCCTCCTTTATCCACTTCCACGATGATTTCTAATTCTCCCTATCTAATAATGTCTTTTCATGGTCCCTTCTCGAATCTATCCAGTGTTTCATTTTATCACCTCTGAAAATTTAGGCAGTCACTATCTTTTTAGTGCCACCACATTATATAATCAGAATATTAAAGATACCCTTTCTATCCACCCAACTCTCCAGGCTTCTGGCATAAGGAACCTAAGCCATCTCTCTCTTTGAAAGTGTAGGCAACTGTGGCTTCTCTGGATCTTTCCCTTTTCAACTGCTGTAATTCGGAACTTCAGGGCAAGGTGTAGTTGACTGTGCAGAGAGGATGAGCTGGCATCCCAGGATTAGAAAAACAATTTACACACTTGAAGCCTCTATCCTGGCAAGGTGGAGCTGAGGACATGGGGCCACAAATAATCACATGTCAATTCTTCAACAAAATAAGAGGTTTACTGTTTTTGCTAATTATCTGCCAGAAAGGAAAGGCCACTAGAAAATGGAAGAAGAGCAAGAAGCTGAGCCTGGCAGACATTCCTTAGAGCAGAGTAAGCAGAAGCAGAGGAGTCTGGGGAGAGACACCAACAGCGGATGGAGGGCCGGAGAGCTCACCTGAGAGCCTAGTTTTCACTTGTTCTATTTTGTTTTCCACCACACTTTGGAAAAATGTCTGATGCCAACTTGTGGAATCCTCTTTGTGCTTTGTTGTCATTTTCTCTCAAAAATGTTTAGGGGAGTAAGCTTTGAATGATGCCTTAACTTTGGGCATACAGGTGGGATTGGAGAGTACACAAAGACTTTCCAAGCGATTTTTTTTTTACCTTTTTCTTAATGTTTTTTTAAAGGGTACATGCGCTCGCCAGAAAGAGACAGAGAGAGACAGTAAGAGTAAAAGTGAGAAATCGCCTCCCAAGGTGGCATGGCCACACCACACTCTTCCATTCTCCTCTCAGGATTTTGAGCATGCACACACATGTACCTGGTGCCATTTTTAGCAGCCAGGGCTGGGATTTGAAAAGAGATCGACCATGTGGGAGTTCAGCTGCTTACCCACTCTGCCACCTGCTGGTAACTACTATACCAAAGGACTCTGTCAGTCATCAATTTGAAATATTTTTCATCAAAGTTTGTTTTCAGAAAATGCCTCTCCTGGGACCAACAGATGGCATAATGATTATGTCACTGTACTCCCACATAGTTGACCACGGTTTGAGTTCCAGACCCAACAGCTTAAAACCCACACTGGGTGCATGTACATGCATGCCCAAAATTCTGAGAGGGCACTGGAGGAGAAGGGATTACAGCATGGCCATCCCCCCCGGGGCCAGGAGATGATTTTTTTCTTTCTGTCTGTCTCCCTCTGTCTCTCCAGCTAGCACACGCACCCTATAGCAAAAACCTAACAAGTCCAGCATGATTTTCACGTCACCAATTCTGGGACTCAAACTGCATTTGGTCATGTGGGAGTCTAGTGATGTAACCACTACACCATCTGCTCACACCCCACATTCACTGCTCTTGCCTTTTTAAGAGGTTTTTGCCTTAGGGCTCATGTGTTTACTGGAAAGGGAGACAGAGATAGTGAGACGGAAAGCGAGACATCACCCTCCAGGGGGTTGACCACTCCACAATCCTTTCTCCTCCATTCTTCTCCTGGGATCTTGGGCACACACACACATGCACATGGTGTGAGTTTTAAGCCACCAGGTCTGGGACTCGAACTGGCCGTGTGGGAATACAGTGATGTAACTGCTACGCTATCTGCTGGCCTCTGCATTCGCCCCTCTTGACAGCATTTTCTTGCCCAGTTTATGAGGTCACAGGCCTTCCATGTCTAAGCCAGCTCTAGCAGTTTTCTTTTGAGTATGTCCTGTGACCACATTAGGTAGGAAGCTGACACTCCTTCACAATGCTCTGCGTTTTTATCAGCGACATTCTCCTATCATTAAAAGGGAACTCGTACCGCAGAAGGGTGAAATACATAGGTCATAGAGTCAGATGAGTTTTGGGTTAAATCTCACATTCTGCCATTTCTTGCTTGTCTTACCTTAGTTGACTGACCATCTTGATTCCCTCGTCTATAAAATGAGGATAATAATAAAATATAAGTGGCATAGTGTTTACTAGTTGACTTCAATATACATTCTCTTCTTCTTCTTTAATAACAGACATTTTCGACTTCAGTTTAAAACTTGGCTCCCAGTGGGACCAGCAGATGGCATAATGGTTACTTTGCTGGACTCCCATGTAGTCGACCATAGTTTGAGTCCTGGACACAGCAGCTTAAACCTCACACCAGGCACAAGTGCATGCACGCCCAAGATCCCAAGAGGAGAGCAGGGAAGAAGGGATTGGGCATGATCATCTCCCCTGAGGGGTGTTTTCTCATGTCTGTCTCTCTGTGTATCTCCGATGAGAGCATGCACTCTGTAGCAAAAATCTCTCTAAAACAAACAAACAAACAAACAAACAAAAAAACTTGGCTCCCAGTTAAAGACATTGCCTAGACTCTCTTGCAGCTATATGGCAAGAGAGCAGTTTCTAGCAAATGGGATATGAACAAAAATGATGTCTCAGTCTGTATGTGACTTTCTTTTCGACCAGAGCTTGAAACATTCAGGTTATATAAAGTCATTTTGACTATGCAGATGAGAACAGCTTAGTAACCCATAAGTCACCTGTTTTGTCTACACCACTGTTATTGTGATGTTTATTGTTTTAGCTGAGCATATATCCTAATGTGTCACCCTAAAGAAGTATGAAATTACATGAAATAATAGGGGCCAGCAGGTGGAGTGGAGGTTAAGGTGCTGGATTCTCACATGGATGACTGTGGTTTGAGTCACAGACCCAATAGCTTGAAAATCACACTGGGCACATGTGTGTGCATGCCCAAAATCCCAAGAGGAAAAAGAAGAAGGGATTGTAGAGTGGCCATCCCCTTGAGAAAGTGATTTCTCACTTTCCCTCTCTCTGTCTCTCTCCTCTCTGGCAAGTGTACATGCCTCATGGCAAAAAAAAAAAGAAGAAGAAAAAAGAAAAGAAAACAGGAAATAATATAGGGAAACTGTTCAGTATATGATTAATATATAATACGCATTTGAAACTGACAGCTATTATTATTATGATCATTATTATTGATAGCCCTACGTCTTGCCACTTGGCTATAGATTAATAGGAAAACACACACACAAGCACACACATATAAGCAAAGCAGAATAAAGAGGCAAGATAAATCCATCGATGTGAACACACATGACACAATGTAAAGTGTAGAAACCAAGAGGCTGGCAGAATTTCCCCAGAGCCTTAGAAATTAAAAATCACAACATAAATGCTCTGTATGCCATGAAAACCTACTGGGGTCTGGACTGCCTGTTCCGTACAGGTGGAAATGATGATGAGGCTGCTAAGTGGGACCAGCAGAGAACACATCTGTGCTAGCTCATGCTTCATTACTTCAGTCAG